ATTTAATAAGTAGGATATATTGTTCTGTATACAAAGTGTAATATATACAAATGTTCTCAGTCAGCAGGTTACTGACTACTACTTCCTCGTTCTCCTCATCCTCTTCTTTGAAAAAGAGATAAAAAACCAACATCCATAAGCTTTCTGCTTACAGGTCAAACATTTTTATTTAAGTAGGAGTAAACTGTGTACTTATTAAAAGTTACAGTTTAGTGTTCTTAGGACTGAAGACTTTCTGAGGAAAGAAGTTTTTAAACATCTTTTCTATAATTTTAGCGTTTTCAACAGAGGAGCTTTGATATATTTATTTTAAATAAATTATAGCAGAGGAAGTTTTCTACACAGAAAAAAATTTTTTTACTGTTTTTTTAACCAAACTGACAAGTTTCTGCAGTAAAATATTGTGTAATTTAAAGGCATTGAAACACCTGGTTAAATCTAAAAGATATTATGATTAACTATAAACATCTGAAGCTGACTCAGAGAACTCTGTGATTTTAGAAAAAATTAAAGTCAAATGTAGACACGTCTTTAAAAGACCTTCCTCCTCCTCCTCCCCACCCCGCGCAGCTGCGGTCAGCGCACTCCCACCCCAACCGTGTGATTAACACTGATTTTTTTTGCGCAAATTACAAATTTTTGAAGCTCATTATACACGTTAAATGTCTGAAGGGGTTGACACGTATGAACTCCTGGGCTGGTCGGAGCCGAGCTGCAGGTGGACATGTTCGCTGCACCTCGCTTTAAAAACAGTCAGCTGATCGGTCGCGGTTTTGTTGCGCTCGTGACGTGAACACACGGGGAAATGCTGCAAAGTACTTTTAGAAATATAATCAATATAAAATACGAAGTAATCCTCGGTGGAAAATAGTCCAGGAAACGTGTGCGTTCCCGGGAGGTGTTCACCTGCAGCTGAGTGAAGCTGACCCCCCACCCATAGAGAAAGAAAAAAAAAAGGCAGTAATTATTGATAAGGTAGTAACCATGCTGTGGCTTCACCTGTCRCATTTTCTTTTAAAGAAAGAAAAAGTAGCTTGTAAAGCTGTCGCATCGGTGCTACGTGATTAAAAGCAGAGCTGCGCGTCTAATCACACAAACATCTTCCTATCTTTGTGAGGACCACACACAGCGCTCAGCCTCGCTCTGCGCCGTCTTTTTCCCCAAGTTTGGTGAGAGGTGGATATGAAGGGACGTAAAAAAATAGCTCTCGACTTGATCTGGCCTTATTTAAATATAAATGACTACATGTCGTGAAATTCTTAGAGGGGCGGGCTGTCTCGTTGGCAGGGGGGGCCGCCCCGCCTATATAATGGTAGGGGAAACACTGGTGTTAGGAGACCTTTTCTCATAAGAAAATAATAATAATAATAATTCCCACACTTTAAAATCACCATATTCTCCCCTTTATTCAGGCCCACAGTTTGTTCACAGATCCAAAGGGCAGAAAAAGTGGGGATGGGAAAACTGGGGAGGAATCAGCTCATTTTCTCTAATGCATTAGCAGCTGTGGGGTGGGGTGGGGGGCACATGCATGCTTGCTTGCATTAAAGCAAGAAAATTGTTACAAAACTTACCAAACTGACCCCTTCCTGAAACTAAGAACAGGAATATCTGTCAAAAAAGAGCTGCAGAGTAAAGCAGCACGCTAACGATAACAGGTAGACTGGAAGTGGGGATCTATGTGACATCATTTTTGTTTGAATGTCTCCCTCTTTTACCGTGTGGTTTTCCGAGAAGCAGCTCCGGAGCCAAGTAATCCGGGGTCCCCAAAATTGGCATCCCCTCAACAGGCAGCGCGCCCCTTCGGACACTTTTCGGAGTCCTGTAAGGGGTGTGGGAGGTCGACATGGGCTGAGGAGTCTATTGAGAGAGGGAAATATAAATTTTAAAGAAAAGTTACAACTTCCTCGATATACCATGCATTTTTTTTATCCCTTCTTACCTACCTGATAAACAGAACTGGTGGAGTTTGGTCTTCTCTGAACGGGTGTCGCATTTCCAAACGCAGAGTGACAAGAAGCCGATGTGGACACATCCATCGTATCCAAAGATCCAACGCTGAGCCTGGACACTCCTGACATGTTGGAGCGGTTAATGGAGCTGCAATAACTGCGGAAAACCACGCCGTTCCGTGGCTTGAGGAACGAGGGGGAACTCGCGACGCTCCGTACGAGATCAGGGAGCGAGCCAAGGAGGGAGCACTGAGATCCAGTTTTTCGCCAACGCTGACCAAGTTTAGGGGTGTGCACGGCAGCCAATTCTGTGTTTGTGGAGTTTTGACTCTTTTCATTTTCCTCGGATGGAAGAGAAATTTCTGCCGGCTTGTTTGGATGGAGAGCGTAGGCGCGACTGTCCGCGACGAGAGAGGTTTCACAAATGGACCCGTCAGAGTCGAGGCTCAAGTTCCCAGGAAAAGGTGACGTGAAACTTGAGTGTGACAAGTCCCCGGGACCACCTTCGAACACGTCCTCCGCCGGCTCCTCCAACTCACTGAACAGACTTTTGGCCACAGCGATGGGACTGGATCGCTTCGGACGGCTGTGTTCAGCTGCCTCATCTCCTTTAGAGGAAGTTAAGAGGTCGCCTATTTGGAAGGTGGAAAATGTCCCGGTCAGACCAGTGTGATTCTTAGCAGTCTCCTCAGGAACATCAAAGAATCTCTTGTAGTCAGTGTTTCTCTTTTTAGCTTGGCTCTCTAGTGGGTTTGGACTTGTTTCTATTTCTGAAAATGTCCTTTTAACAGATGAGGGAACTGCAAGCTGATGGTCATCTCTCACTGGTGGACAAATATCCTCCTGAGCGTCAAAGTCAGACTTCAGCTGCTTTCTGCAAGACCTTCTTTCCGGAAGGTGGTCATAGTTTGAGTTTTTGGACTCACTACTGGAGGCCTTGGTAGAGACGCTGGTGCTGTTTAACTTTGAGTGTCCATGGGCCTTTTCAGATCCATAGGACTCAGACTGCCCTCCAATTCTCTGATTACTGGTGCTTACATTTTCTTTCTAAATAAAACAAGAACAAAAAAATCACATAAAAGAACACAATAGGATTTTACATTACAAACAACAATTTGTTAAATTTTAGGACTATAGAAAATTACCCACCTCCTCACACTCCCACAGTGGACTGATGCCACCCTCTGTGTCGGTGGAGATGTCTCCACTCATCGTCTCAAATCTCTTTCTGGTTTTCAGCAAAGTTTGTGTCAAATTTTTTTCCAGGTTGTGAGGATTAAAYGCTTTACTTCTAGGTCCTATACAAACAAAATACAGATAAAACGTACACTAAATAATGGCATTAGGATGATTAATACTTTATGACAGATGAGTTTCTGGTCTGAACGGTCTTTTCCGTTCTGTTAATGACGTACCCAGTTTACTAATGTAGCCTGTCGGAGAAAACAGCTGATCTTTCTTAGCAATCAAAGGAGAACTGAGAGAGTTATTCTTTGTTTTGATTTTGCTGCAGGACATCGGGCTGGACACAACGGAGGCGCTGCAATGACGCCTACCATCTCCTGCAGGTGTGTTCTWGATTGTGTGAAATGACAAGAACGTTATGAACAACAAACTGCACACGGATTATCAAAAAAGTGAAATAAATTTGCTTACGAATCCAAGGGAGCTGATTAAGGAGAGAACTTGACCAGGCGTGCGAAAGAAGTCTGTTTTTGGTTTTGCCAAGGATGGAGTTGTAAGGATATCCATAAGGCTCAGCTCTGTTTCGATTAGAAACCACACAGAAATCCTGACTTTAACATATGGTGATGGTCACAGTCTGTTCAAGCTGAAAGGACTTCATACCTCTGTCAAGCTTGACTTTTGAAAGACCAAAGTCGGTTAGCTTGATGTGACCTTCATTGGATATGAGCATGTTATCTGGCTTCAGGTCTCTGAAAAGTTAAAATCACAATAAATTTCATGTCACAATTGGAAATTCAGCCATTAAAAGTTGGATTATCCATTTATCCACATCCATACCTGTGGATTATGCCATGACGGTGGAGGTAGTCCAAAGCCAGTGCAACCTCTGCGATGTATTTTACAGCCACGTCCTGATCAAAATAGCCATATATATGAAGAAGAGACTTGACATCTCCACCAATCAAGTACTCCATTACCTATAAACAAGAATCTGAAGGTTAAAAGCTGTTGAACTGCCTACCAAAATAAGAATTGAGACGTTAAAAATAATATAGATGATAAGTAATAATAGGTATAATATTCTGTATACCAGTCGAAGTAGGGTATGGTTCTTGTGTTGAAAAAAAAAACTAAAATGGAATTATTAAAAGTCAATTGTATTTATTTATTCGACATATTCAGTCCCTCAGTATTACCAGATAGATCTTGGTGGCTGTCTGAAGGGAATAAAACAGGTGAACGATGAAAGGACTTTTGCTGAGAGCAAGTGCGTCTCTCTCTGCCTTCATTTGGCTCGCCATGTTTTTGTCAATCATGTCTGCCTTTTTCATCACCTGGCAGGAAAGAATGCAAAAACCCAGTTAAAAATCAGAAAGACACGATATAAGTTTACTCAAATCGTTTCCTCATAGCCACAAAAAGCTAATAGACTCACTTTAATAGCATACAGACGTGCATTGCACTTCTTCCGAGCAAGGTAGACTTTGCCAAATGCGCCACGGCTGATGGGTTTCAAAACGATGAAATCGTCGATCGAAGGCGGTTTCGGAACTTCCACCGTTTTTACAACGCAACCCGAATTGTGTCGTTCCTCGACCTCCATTATTCAGCTGCTTCAGATAAAAAAATAGTCTTGTTCTGAAACAGTCATCCAGCTCTGAGTAAACATCTGCACGCAAAAACAACAGATTTGTTTTGAAATTTTGAATTCGCTGCCTTGTCATGGGGTCCTTTAAATTTAGTACATTAAAAATCTGCCTGCACAAAAAAAAGAATAGCAAAAATAGTCGTGGAACTAAATACCATTTCTGTGTTTGAAATGACAGTTAATATAATGTAGATTACGTTTTTCTCTGTTCAGTTATGAAATGATGAACTATGCACTCTGTTAAACAAATTTTACATTTCAATTAGGCAGTCACTATAGCTTCTATTTTAAAATTATTTTTATTGGTTTTATAAGTTACCAATCGGTATTTTTTCAGTAAAACTACGTTTTTATCGAGTATTTTAATTTAAGTTAAAATATTTTGAGGTTTCCGTGGCATACGTGACGGACGTCTGTACGTGACGTGACGCAAGCTGTACCTGATTAACATCGTTTTGTAGTCCATTTGACCTCAGAACCAGCCTGAGAATCCATTTTGCCGAAGTTAGCTTAAAAAGTTGTGTAACTGCGGTTAGTTGTGTAACAAGAAAAACAGAAAGGACACCGGTCAGATGAGAATTCGTTTCTTAACGATTAATATAAGGCCTGTCCTTACTCTGTAACCATCTAGAGACGTACTTTTTAATATCTGAGGTAAAATGTTTTCGCTGTCGTCGTTTCAGCCACAGCAGGTAGGCCCATCCAGAAGCCGGTTGATTTGTTTATCTTTATGTGTGTTTGCCTGATAACTTTTCTAAGTATTAAGTTTGCGTTTTCTGTAGTGAAATTTAATGAGAACAGGCAATTGCTCTGTGGATGTTTGTTGTTGTTCTGACTTTTGTTTTGGTCAATGACAACTTAGCTTAGCTAACGCTAACATAGCTTGTCAGTGTCAGACGGATTTCCAACTCAGACCATGCTGACGTAATGTTATCTGATTTCTGAGCACTAGAAAAACGGTTTTAGTCATGATGTTATCGTAATAATGTTGTACAGGATGGTAGACCAGAAAAGATCAGAGCTATTCATGTCAGTTTGTAGGGCTTAATTTAATTATCAACAAATAGACCAGTCAGCATATGAACCTAACCTCAATAACACTGACTCCTGACCCACTGTACTATTTAGTAAATTTATTTGAAATCCAACAAAACGTATCTTTTTTTTAAACAATGGGTGTTCTGTTCATCGTTTTAATGCCAATGTTATTCATGTCACCATGTGATGAAAGGTTGTTGCTCTACGTTTATATTGTTGTGTCTCTTAGATGGTAGTGCCTTTCAGCCAAGTTATCAATGCCCTCCACTCACTGAAGAACTCAGCCACAGCTTCAGTCCAGGCCTTTCACAAAGACTTCTCTCATGAACCTAATTCATATGTAAAAGAGGTAAGAGACACATACATGTTGACAACTGTGTAACAGTGGTTAGATAAATGCTCCACACTTACACCTTTCTTAAGGTGATATCTCATTGCGCTGTGTGCAGTTGGTGCACCACATTCACAAGCCTCCCAAATGTCTCCAGGACATCCTGCAACTTTTGCAGGGTTCTCAGCATATTTGCACAGCCTGCATTTTGGGTCCTGTTTGGATTGTGTTATTGCTCTGCAATAATTAGTGTCTCTGTACTAGGGCTACACAATATATCGCAAATTTATTGTCATCGCGATAACAGTCTGTGCAATAGGCAGATGGCAAAAAATGCATAAATTGCAATAAATGGTTGGCTTTAATGTTTGCATTTATGTGTTTTGTCAGCATCAGTCTGATAAACAAAATGGACCAGAGATACCACATCAAATCATAACCACTCTGTCATGTTGAATTTGAAATGATAATGAAAATTTATTTCAAACATTTCACTGACAAGTGCTACAAAAACAAACAAAACAAATAATAAAAATAAAACACCAAACCTTACTATGATGAACATAATCATTTACATGAAAACACACCACTTATTCAGTGATTATGAGTCTGAGGTAAGAGGTTTTTATTTAATAGAATTTTTGGACCAAAAATATCACAATGTATCGCCTTGTTTACAGT